AGAAGTCTGGGTTGGGTGAATACAAGGTACCAAATGGAGACCGATTTCCACATGAGGAAATCAAATTTTAACCTGCAGCCAAAAGATGAAGCCTTGGCCAGTAACAAAGCAGAGAAAACACCTACCAGCCTCGTCCATTGTAAAAGGCTTCTTCTTTGTTTTCTCCCTCAGTTGTTTCTCATGGGCCAGCAACTAACTCTACTTTCTTTTACTTCCTCTTCCATGTATTGTAATTGGAGGTGGTTTGAGGTTTTCTCTTTCCTGAGAAAGGAAAGAAATAAAGCCAACAGCACTTGCTGGAGAAGTTGGGTGTGTATCGAGTGCCCAGGATTACTGCGTCTTCCTTTGTCTGTGGTGGTCTCTTTGTCCGTGAATTAGCATGCATTGAGCAAAGAATGCCCTGCCTTTCCCCTCTGCAGCAGCCTCTGGCAGCCCAGTGCCAAAACTGGGGAGAGCAAGTCCTGCCTAAAGTGAGGGGGGTCTGTGATTCACCCCGAGGTGCCATTCAGGGTGGCTTTTCTTTGATTGCCACACATCTTATCAAACTCACTTCTTTGGCTTCCATTTGGATGCTGTTGTGATGGGGTTTGCTGGAGGAGAGCCCACAGGTGAGGGAGGAAGGTGAGATTGGTAAACTATACATAAAACGCAGACACAAGAGCTTTGAGAAGGTGGTGATGGGTGGGGGCAGTCTTGGGCTGCTTAAGGTAGTGGCCTTCAGGAGATCCTGAGGCCTGCCCTGTAGCTGAGTTGAGAAACTGATGTTTATATCAGTGACTCAGAAACATTGGCACAAGCTTCAGGTACAGTACTTCTAAGACACAGTCAGTTGTAAGATGCTCCAGCTTTTGAGGGGAGAAAATATCACCACCAGGAACATGAAAATGTGGGAGAAAATGTGTGCTTTGGACTCAAGGAAGCCTGCTTTGTTCAGAATGTCTCTGTGGTTGCATGGCTGGTTTTGGTCTATTTTCAGAAGGCAGGAAAGCGTGCAGCACTTAGAGGATCCTTCTAGACAGCTGAAGATTCACCTTCAACACCAAAACACCTGTAACAAATTTTAAACTAATTTTGAGATAAATGATTCTAAAATGTGTTCTGTATGTGACTTACCTGCCTCAGGCTATTAAATGTCCCTAAACAGCCATGCTGGGCTCATGGGTCTACGTTTCATGGTTTTCTTGCTCTTCCTTTGAAATTTCACTGACAGAGTCTGGCCGCTGTGCTGGTGCCTCTCCTTAGCAACAACTCTCCACTGTCCAATTTCCTATTGTGAGCCAAATTGCCACAGTTAGTAGAATTGTGTTCCAGTGGCGGGCTGGTGGCTCAATAGGGGCTCATCTAAGAACACAAAAGATTATTTATCACCTTAATATTTGGAAAGAAGCAGTAAAGTATCTTATTTTATCAAATTGGTCCATTATGACATTTTCTGGCCAATGGAGGTAAAACGTCTTGGGGGAAGGGGCGCCTTCTTCTCATTTTGTACAAAGGACCTGCATGGGCTGGTGGTGCCCTTGCCCGGCCCAGATCTGTGTCTCTTCTCAGCTGGTCTTGATGCTGTGTCGACAGGGTCTCTGCTCACCCCTTCCTGCCCTGCACCTGGTCTCTCAGGGCCCACTTTCACTGCAGAGAAGTGTCCTGCTGTGCCTTCTCCCTAAGGCCCGCAGCTGGACGCAGTGAGGTCAGGACCAGAAAAGTCAGAGCAGCCCACTACCCCGATCCTATTCCTGCCAGCCCGTTCTGCGTGATGCCCTGAATGGTCAGCCCTTGTTTTCAGGACGCATTCCTGACTGACCACTACCTTCCCCAGAATCGTATCCCATCAGCTGCTGGGGAAGCTGTGGCCCAGCCATCTGCTAAACTCTCTGCCCCTGGAAGCTTTTGTCTAACAGATGCCATGATGTCTTTACCTTACAACAGCTGGCTTTGTGCTTGCTATTCAGATTTTTGGTATTAAAAATATATTGTTTGTTGATACCTACATAACTAGGACATTTATCGACAAAGCAGTGAATTGAATACCGTGAAATTCAGGTTCTAGCTGAGTGAAGTGTGATCCAGAAGAGGCTCAGAAATGACGCCAGAAGTCCAGGGAATGTTTGCTTCTTAGTCTAGGAGAGTTCCTGGGTGCTCTGATGAACATCTTCAAATAATAAATGTAATACATTTCGCAATAAAACGAGCTTGAGAAAAGCATAAGTGGGCACTGTAAAATGGTCCAAGAAGCTCTTCTCTGAGCCAAGGGTGTGAGTTTAACAGAAGGAATTTGTGACTGTTGGGCAGGATGTTTTTGCTGGTTTTCACTCACCTCCCGTTGCATAGTTCAGTTCTGGATAGGTGAGTTTGCTGGATAGCTGAGCTATAGAGTATCAACCAATAGGGTAATGCATTTGAAAAAAGGGAAGAGAGGGACTGTCAGTAGTTGAAGGAAGGCTGCAGAGCCCCGGCCCCTCCAGGTCTCAGGCTTTGGGCTTCAGCCCAAGTGATAGGAATGTCTGGCAGAGGCTGCTGCTTTATCCGCACTTCTCTTTAGGCGGGCAGAGCCTGCGGTGGCAATGGGTCTTCACCAAGGTGATATGGTCTAAAATTGGGGGCATGAATAGAGAACTCTTAAGTCTAACCTGCCTGCTGAGCGGATGGGAAAGCAAGAGGATGCCTCTGCCCTTCCTGGAGAAGGCCGGCCTGCCTGAGGACCCTTCCTCGCTGCTGATTGTTCTTTCCAGAATCCACACAAAGAGATCTGATCAATAAGTTGTCAGAAAAGTCCTTCTTTGGCTGCATGTTTTTCCTTTCTTCTGTACACCAACTGCATTCCACTTTCCTAGAGTAGTTTTAACTCTTTCAAGTCACCAGTGGAATCTCTGACTTGCACAGAATCATTCACGCAAGAATTTACATTAAATCAGGTAGAGAGAGAGATAATTGATAGGTGGGTAGGTAAGTAGATGGATAGATAGTTAGATCTCCGTGAGTCTGTAAATAAATACATTCACCTAAAGAGCATAACACCAGGGTAGAACTAGCAGGCTGAGACTGCGTCACTGATAATTAATTTGATTTTTGATTCTTTAAGGGAGATTCTAATAAAAGGAAGCAACGTAGAAAGGAAGAACTACTTTAGGCCTTTTTTGCTTGTGATATTTTATACTTAAACAGAATTGACAGTTTTTGAAATAAAAGTTTAGAAAGGTTTTTCTGTACAAATTAGCAAAGATCAGCTTTACCTTGGGAGGCCATGTCCCCTCTCCAGATGACAAGGACTGATAACAACCGCCATTTTTTTAGTGCTCCCTGTGTTTCAAGCCCTGGGACCAAATAGGCCCTTTACCTACATTTTGTTTGTTCATAAGAACGTGGAAAGCTGGGTTTATGCCCTTGTTGACTCATCTGCCTCAGATGCCACAGCCAGAACTCACATTGAGGGGAGCTTCTGTATTCTCTGTCTTCCCACTGCCCTGCACGGCCTCACCACACTCAGCCTCTTCCCATTGCCTGGGACACCAGGACTCGGGGACAGAGGGGCTGGAATGAACTGCAGACAACCGAGATATTTTAAGAGAGGTCACTGTTCTAATTAGCGCCAGGTAGTCATAGGCTCATTTCCTTTTTGTGCATAAGACATTTGAGAAAAGGTAGCGAGAATCTTCCAAGAATCTATTATTCCAGTGGTTCCCAGGACTTTCTCCTGCCCTAGTACACAGAAGGTTTGCACGCATCCCACTGGCAGCCTGGCTCTCTCCCCAGGTGGGGCCCTTCTACTTAGTGGCATCAACACAGGGAGGAAATAATGCCTGGCGGATAGTCCCTGCCTTATTTAAAATGAATAACTTTTAAAAATTAGTAAAGTATTCCAAAAGAATAAAGAAAGTAAAACAAAGAATATAAAACAAACGGTGAAAAGAAAGTCTCTCTACTACCCCCCGTTCCTGTCTTGCATGCCCCTCTCCCGAAGTTTCCAGCATCTTCTGGGTCCTTCGAGAGATATTCTGGGCACGTGAGCATTTACTGGGGAAGCAGACCTGACACAAGCATTTTGCTTTGTTCACTTAAAATTGTATCGTAGAGATTATTCCATGTCTACACAGAGCAGCTGCCTCACTCTTTTTCACTGCTACAAAGCACGGATGTACCATAATTGACTTACTAGTCCCCTATGGTTGGACGTAAGGTGGTTTCCACACTTTTGATGTTATAATGTGGCAACAGGCAACAAGTTGTGCACATTTTAGATCCCCTGCTTTATTAGAGGTGTGCACCGTGACCTGATCAATTGCTACCTACCTCTGCACTTGCTGTAGCAGATAACCTGGCATCAATGTTTCTGCAATAATGATGATGACTGATATGTATTAAATGCTTACTGTGTAGCAGGTACTGCTAAATACCATACATGGATCATACTTTATTATAGTATTACCTCGATTTTAATATTTATATTAATAGCATAAATGTTATTTATTATATAAAATATAATTATGTAAAATATATAAAATATATTGTTTACTATATAAATGTATTACAAAAATCAATTAAAAGATACAATAAATAATATGGTAATATTATTACCTCATTATGGAGAGACCCCGATTTTGCAGATGAGGCCAGACAGCTTCTAAGTGGTGGAGGAGGGATTTGAACTCAGGCGTCTGGCCCCAGAGTCAATGTTCTAGATCACCCAGTCTACTGCCTGCTGTCCAGAAGGTCATTTGAGTTCCTATGGGCACCAGCGAGCGCAGTCTCTTTAGAGCCAAATGCGTGACAGCCGGTGGACATAATTGGAGCTCCTGGGTGAGCTCCAGGGGAAGTCTGACCAGGAATGACCACCAAGTGCTGAAAGCTGTGACGGCACATGCACTATGGCCACCGAGGGCTCCAGGTCTCCCAAGGCAGTGCTGCCGCCTGTCGGCCTGTCTCGAGTAGAGGGAAGTGTGCACAAGTCAGTGCGTTAGATGTGGGCTCATCAGATGTTTTGAGCACAACTCTCGTTTTATTTTTAGTAGAAACAAAAGTATTTTCTGGAAGCAACAAGAAGCAACAAGAAACGCGTGTGACTTTGTCTGCTCCCCCAGTGGAACAGAAGCTGGTTAAAGATTTCCTGCCTCCTGGCTGTAGCCCTCCAAGCAACAGCTGTCAGTCTAGCGACCTTTCTGAGGCCGCAGAGAGTCAACAGCAAAGCTTCCCGAAACCCGGAATCTGTGTCCCTGGGTTTCTTTGCCCCTTGCAAGATTTATGCACATCTCCACAGGAAGACCATGGTGTTCAGGCAGAAAGAGAGTTCCCCAAAGGTAAGAAGCGAGGGAGGTAGGGTTGAGATGGTCCGTCCTTGATAGTCATATGGAAAACATTACAGTATCTTCCTGGGGTCTGGTTCGCGCAATCTCACCTTGTGAAGCTGCCCCTTCTCCAACTGTGCGAGCAGAGAAGCAAGCAAGTCCAGCAGGTTTAAATGGTGGGCGGGTTCTACCTCCCAAGCATCAGGAAGGCAGCCCCGTGTGGGTCAGGAATTCCAGTCCCACTGTGCACAAGGCCAGTGTCACGTGAGGCTGAAAAGAAGGGCACTCCCAGGGGCATAGCACATTCTCAGGCCTAGGGAGGGGATGTTTGAGATGCTGCTGTGGCTGCTCTGAAGGCAGCAGGTTTCCTAGGCTGATGGTGGTCCTCTGTAAATGACTAGCAGGGATAATGGCTGAGGGGCATAGGCCCCCACGTGTGATGGATGCTTAACAAGCATGAGTGCACTAGACATCACAGTGCCCACAGGGTAGGTCCCAATCTCAGCCTCTCACAAGGGAGGGAACCAAGAATTCAAACCAGGCCATCATTTCTCTAGAGGCCAAGTGGCTGATCCCTACTATTCCTGCAGTAAGTGCTGTGCCATAAAAGAACAGAGGAATAGAAAATGGGCCTGTGGTGCCCAGTGATGTGGGTGGAAAAATTTAGCTTTCCTATCACTCTAAAGATTTTCCCAAAGAGCTATCGATAAGGATAGAAAGAAAAATATCAGATTATAGAGCTTTGGGATGTAAAAGTTAAAATGTTTATGGCAATTGATAAAAATAATTTCACTTGGAACCCGAGTTAATCGCTAGCTCTTCCTTCATTAATACATTAAAGAAGCATTTATTAAACACCTACTGTATGCCATTAAATAAGCATTTATTAAATATCTACTGTGTGCCATTAAATAAGCATTTATTAAATATCTACTGTGTGCCAGGTGCTCCCTGCCCTCCAGGTGCTCTCAGTCCAGTACTGGAGACATTGGGATTGTAACTGTGTCTGTGGTGAGCTATCAGGAAGCTGAGGACGGCCCCAGATGCTCCAAGCAGGGTCTGGACAGAGACATATTCCTCAAGGAAATAATTTTGAGCAGGAACTTGAAAGCTGATTAGAGGTTTAAAGATTAGAGCCAAGGGTGAAGACCGTTTCAGACTGAGGGAAGGACATACACAAAGCAAAGAGTTGGTGGAAAGAGCGTGGCTTATTTGGGGGCCAAGGGGCCAGAGTGCAGGGGACGCCGAGGCGGGGAGGCTAGCATGAGTCTAAGGTCACATGAATCAAGTTGGAAGATCCTTATAAGCCCATTAAGGGAGTCTGGACTGAAGGCAGGGCCAAACGCTTGAAGGAGACGAGGCTTAATTGGATTTGCTTTGAAGGAGACTGTCTCCTGGACAATATGGAGGACAGATGAGAGAGGGGCAAGTCTAGGGGGCTGAGACCCAGCCAGTGATGAATACAGACCATGTCACTGAGGAGGAGGGGCCACAGTGGTGGGGACTTTCAAGATACAGGGGACAAAGCTGTGTTGTGCACTGATGAGGATGGGCACATCAGGACTGCGTCTGGGTTGCTGGATCTGGTGATGGGCCAGATGGTGGGGAAGGATGTAAGGGGACTGTGGCTTCCCTGTGCATAGGGTGAGCTAGTTGTAATAAAGGCTCACAGTAAGAAATGGAAACAGTGTGTGGAGGGCGTAATTAATTCTAGCTGGAGGAGGTCCTGGGGGACAGAGATCTGGGCTAGTTGGTTAGGCCTGAAGCAGGGATGGGGGAGCAACAGGGAAATCCTCCAGAAAGAACAGAAGCAAATGCTTAGAAGAATGAGAGAGGATGATCTGAGAACCTCGAAGTAGTGTGTTGTTGGTAGAGAATCAAAAGTGACAGCTGGAGCTGGAACATCTACCCTGAACAAGCCACATAAAGTCTGGTCCGTCTGTAGGGCTTGTAGGAAGTAGGGACCATTGATGGATTTTGAGTAGAGATGGGACAGCTGGTCCAGGCCACAGAGGATCCAGGGTGAGCAGTGGAGGTTATAACAAGGGGTTCAGATAAGAGATTCACGGGACCATGGAGATGCGTCCTATGGCCAGGTGAGCCTCCTAGTGGACACCTCTCCACTCTCAACAGAACTACTCCTTCTGGGCGCCTGGGCTGGCACCATGGAGAGATGCAAGGCGAATAGGACACAGTTTAGCCCTCAAGGGAGTCACAGGCTTGTGGGGTTAAAACATCCTGTGACGAGCTTACTTTGTCACTGATGCTGCTGAATGCATGAAGTGTGTTCCACTGCGGGAACACAGAGGAGGCAGGATGGAGCCTGCCTTGGGAAGGGGAGGGGGCTTCCTGAAGGATTTGGGCTCAGCCTGGAGGTAGGAGGTCACCGGGTGGAGGAATCAAAGGGGCTTTGTGGAGATAGGAGAGCCTGTGGGCGAGGATGAGAAAGACGCTGTTGAGTCGCAGATCTGGAGGCATTTGGGGAGGCTGTGGTTGGGGGGACGTGCGGTGGGGGGAGCAGGGGGAGCTCAGGCGGGAAGAGTGGCCTAGGACAGACTGAAGGGATATTGTGTTCCAGAAGGAGAAGTTGGTCAGGAAGTGCTCAGTGAATTCAAATTAATCCCCCCAACTCATTCCCTGACCTTTTCCACAAAGGAATGTCAAAATGGCCCTGGGATGAGGCCACATCCAGCCGTGCGCGTGTGCAAGATAGAGAGAGAGAGAGAGAATTTCCATTACAAATGTAAAGCCAGTGGTAGTCTCCAGCAAATTAAGAGGAGGGATAAATAATTGAACACCACTCCTCCATCTTACATCATTAGTGCCGAAAACATGAGATAAATGAATACACTGTCCCCAAACAACCAAGCCGTAAGCATTGTACAGGACACACTTAATGTGAAGCACAGACTAGAAAAGTTTCTTTCCTTGTGAGGAAAGGCATTTGGAACATCAGAAGCCAAGGGAATACCTCCATGGCATAATTAGGCAGTCCTGAGGCCTGGCTGCCCGCAAACCTTCCTCCCTGTGACCGGGCCAGCTGAGGGGGTGGGGGTCTGTGATGAGGCAGATCTCGTCGGCTTAACGAGGCCCATTAATAACCCACTGGCGTTTCTATCTTCAAAATTGTCTTCTGTGAATGGTGTTGAGGAGCCAGGCGGCAATCACGTGGTGCCCTCTAAATGGAATTCTAAATCTTCGCTCCTAGGAGATTACACCTGCTGCGACTTGGTTGTAAAGTTAAAGGAATGCAAGAGGAGAGAGGGCCCCAGCACCCCCGAGCCCGCGCCCGCACCGCCTGAGCCAGCAGCCCCACAGGAACCAGAGACCCCCGACCTGCCGGAAGACTGTTCCAAGGGCTGGCAAATGCCTGCAGGCTCCTTGACCCTGCAGGTGAGAACTTCCGTGCTTCCTGGCTTGATTCCGGCCTAGGGGAGATCTTCCCCAGGGAGTCCGTGGGCACACGATCTCACTTCTGCTTCTGAGGATGGAGACCTGTCTCCCCTTCGTAGTGTCTGTGTGACTCTGGGCAGGTCCCCTATCTTCTCGGAGTCTTTGTCTCACTGTGTGAGTGATGGAGAGAATGTTGTCTGTTCCACTGGCCTAGAGTGAAGGTCACATAATATCCATAGTGACAGTGATTGTAGCAATGACAATGAGCATCTGTTGAGAAGTTCCACGTGCCCAGACATCAGGCAGGTCACTTCCTAGGCGTCAGTGGCTTCCATCGTTCACAGCACCCAAGTGAGGCAGGAGCCCCTATAACCTTGTCTTCGGTTAAGGACATTGAGCCTTTGAAAGATTAAGGAAGTTCCAAAGTCAGGTGGCCATGGTTTCAAGGATACGAAAGCTTTCATTTGGTATCTTTTCCCAATTGTAGAAATAATATGGACACATGTTTTAAAGTTCAAAAAATACAGAGATATAAAAATTAGAAGGGCAGACAGCCTCAGAGAAAGCCCTTGCTGACATCGTGTGGTAGAGCCACCATGCCTTGGGGTGTTGTAAGCCACCCTGTGCGTGTGGAGACGGCTCCATCTGCCGGCCCCTGCACCCCTGTTGCGCGGGTTGGCCCTTGGTGAGAGGGTGGAGGATGGTGCCCCCACAGCAGCCAGAGCCTCCAGCCTCAGGGTGGGCAGCTGAGGCAGCAGCCAAGCCTGGGCCAACGGGCCATTCTCTGTCTCTCCAGTCCCTGTGACTTGTGCCGGGGACCCAGGCCTGGTGAGTGGAGGCATATTGGCTGCGAAGACTCCTTTCCTGGTACAGCTACCAGGGGCATGTTCATGACACAGATGGAGCCCAAGCTGCCCTCTTCCTGGGAGCTCTGAGGTCCCGGAGAGCTGGAAGAGGAATGTGGCAGAGGAATGTTTCTGCTGCAGCAGCACCTCCAGAAGGACTTTTGAGCACCTACTGTGTGCAGACCTCAGGGAAGTGGCTGTGAGGGATACTATGTGGATGAGATGTGGCCCGTGGCCTCCAGGAGCTCACAGCCTAGCAGGCCGATAAACATGTGTGAACCACTTGCACCAGGTGGTCTGTGAAGCACCACAATGCTCAGGCTGAATGGGGAGACACGACAGAGCATTCTGGGAGAGTGGGAACTTGAGCCGATGGGTGTGACTAGTACCCCAGGCAAGGGACCCACTTGAACAGAGGTTTGCAAAGGAAAGCAAGTTAGGACAATGAAAGGCAGCGTGGGAAAAGCATGAGACTGCCACAGCTGAGAGTCACTATGTGATCTACCAAACTACGGTGAGCCCCAGTTTTTGCATCTGTCAAACGGAGATAAATAAATCTGCCTTCCAGGATCAATGTGGGGATTCCCGGAGACGATGAACACACAGACAGCACCTGGCCCAGTGCCTGGCATGGAGCAGAATTCATCCATGCTGGTGTCTCTTTTTCAGTAAACCTGGGTAGGTAGCTTAGTGTAGGCCTGGATGGGGGAGACAGTGAGAGATGAGGCTGAAGTGGAAATACAGAAATTCTACCTTCTCTCTGGAGCTACAGACCCATTTTGCATAGCAAAGATTTCTTGCCAACTCTTCTACCTGGGAGGAGAAGCTGTTTCTGTTAGCTGCAATTGCAGCTTCTCCTAAAAAGGCACACATTTTACATTGAGTGGAAGATCTGGTCTGTGCTTCTTAAGGCGTCCAGCTCCCAGCAGAAGCAAGGGGCTCATGGTGCTTCCATTCCTGCCCTGCTCTGTGTCTCTGGAATTGGGTGTTTGGGGCAGTCAGACTTTGATATGGTAGAATTGACAGCATAGGAGGAGGAATGGGCAGAAGTTTGCCTGTGCCTCGTAACCTTGATGTTGGTGACCAGTTGGTCATGCTGCAGTGGCGCACTTGGGGCAGGGCAGGACCGGCCACCAGGACCCCTGGTATCAATATCCGTTACAACTTTTACAGGAAGTTGTAGAAGAAAATTGTGACATGCTTACGCACGGTGGCTTTCGGTCTCTGAGTGTTGTACTTTTGATCAGCTTCTTGACCAAATCAGATGGATGTTGCCTGTCTCTTAAAATGTTTTCTTTCCTTCACTTAGGAAGCGCTGGAAGTCCGTAAACCTCAGTTCATTTCTCGCTCACAAGAACGACTGAAGAAGCTCGAACACATGGTGCAGCAGAGGAAAGCCCAGCGGAAGGAGAACGTGGGGCAGAAGCAGTCTCTTCTCCCTGTCCGCGCCAACAAGAAGCAGTTCACCGTTCCTCATCCTCTTAGCGGTAAGCTCTGGGTGGCTGAAGAGGCCTGGCGAGACTGGGGGATCCCTGGGGCTGGACCCTTCGCCCGAGGTGACGGTGCAAATGACATCTGCAGGGCTCGTGTTTGCTCTAAGTATCCAAACCTTAGTATCAGGAAGCATGCTCTGGGAGCCAGCCCATTTTGAGAGATTATATATGGGCACTGAATTCAGCAGTAATAACTTGGGACACAAATTTACCATTAGAGCTGGGAAAGAAGCCACACAACTGTAGCAGCCAGGGTAGCAAGTTCAAATTCTTGGCTCCTAACAGATATTTGCAAGAGATCCCCTTTGCCCTTTATAGATTGCAAAACAGACCTCAGGGTGCGAGGGTGACTCCAGCTTGTCTCCATCAACATTCTTCATCTTGAAACCCCTTTCCTGCTGGGAGCTCAGAGAGGGGATGGCCGGCTTTCGAAGAGCTGCAGAGCCGGTGTCAAGCCGACCCTGGGAGGGGCAGCGCTCATTCCCCTCATTAGAGAAGAGATACCAGGAACCTTCTCTCGGCCAGGCACCGTGCTGGGAGCTGGGGATGGTGCAGTGAGCAAGGCTGACCTCAGTCTTTTCTTCATGGAGCTTATAAACAGACTATTAAACCAGCAAGAATAGCAAGAGGAGATGAGGGCAAGAACAGGGACATCAGAGCACAACTGACGGCCTGCCAACTCAAATCTTAAAATCTGGAGGCCTGGGGAAACCTCAGTTTTATTCTTTTGGATAGAGGAGCAAGATTTTTTTTCCTAGGAAAATGTTCTGGCCCCCAGGAGGTGAAATCATGGGTATAATTCTGAATAAAAGTCCTCAGGGGAAATAACTATATCCAATAAAATGCAGCTTAGCAAACATTACCGAGGTCTTGCAGGGGCCTGAGGGACAGAGGACAAAGAGTGTTGTAAGGGCATTCCTGTTAACCTCCAGGGTCCATGGGCAGGCCAAGGTTCCCTCATGCAACCAGAGCACTGTGGGGGGAGTTGCCTAAGACCCTGGGCAAGGGTGGACTTGAATGCATCCTTCTTGTGGCGAAGGATTTGGCAAAACACACTGCTCTTCCCAGTGACATGTTCCAGTAGGCCAAGGAAAGGAAATCAACAAGATGAATGGGCGAAGAGGTCCCCCCCTTGAAATGTGTCTCTCACCAGAATTTCAAGCCAGTTGGCAGATAGAGGCTCGATTTGAGTGTGTTCTCCAGGGTGCCATTTAGTCTCTGGCTCAACAAAGAGTGAGCTGGGTTCAGGTGCTGACTTCTCAAGCTGCTATGAGGGATGACAAATGTCAGCCACAACTGGGAGTCTTCAACAGGGAGGCCCCCTGGGGCCTTCAATGTCTCTGCTTGTCCTGAGGAGGGCTGCCCAGGTACCCATGATGTGTGGGCCCCTCCGCCTCAACATTTTTGAAGATCCTTCTTGATAGGTTAACAAATATAACACAATGCCTCTTTAGAACTCAACAGATTCACATTCACACAAAAAATAGTGTCTGAGGAGCTTCCTTTTGGTCAGATCCCTTTACTTTGTGTAGCAAAATATGGAGACCCAAGGACATTTGGGAACTTGTTATGTGTGGGGCCATGCATCAGCAGCCGTGCTGGGTTCTTCGTCCCCTGGGGCAGCTACCTTCCAGCTGTGCCACATTGTGGGCCCCAAATGGTCTGGAATACCATCATCTCAAATACCAGAGGGAGGCCGCCTTGGTCAGCTCTATTCGTTTCCTGGGACTGCTGTAAGAAATGACCACAGACTGACTAAAATAACAGAAATGTATTATCTCACAGTCTGGAGGCCAGAAGTCCAAAATCAAGGTGTCAACAGGATTGATTCCTTCTGCTGCTTAGAGGGAGAGTCCATCCTACGCTTCTCTCCTGGCTTCTGGTGGCTTCTGGCATTCCTTGGCATTCCTTGGCTTGTAGATGCATCATTCCAATCTCTGCCTCCATCTTCACATGGCCTCTGCCATGTCTGTGTGTCTTTATGTAGAAATTTTCTCTTCTTATAAGATCACAGGCGATGGATCGGGGTCCACCTTAATCCAAGATGACCTCATTTTAATTTGCGTACATCTGCAAAGACCCTATTTCCGAATAAAGTCGCAATCACACATATGGGGCTGGGGATAGGGGGACAAGGACTTGAAGGTATCTTTTAGGGGAGACACAGTTCTATCCACTGCCATCATCCAACTGTGGTGTTTGCTGGAAACAGAAATCCTCACAAGTCCACATTCCTTTAAATGAAAGTCTTAAAACCATATCTATATGAAAGGTGGTGAGACCCAGTCAATAGTAGTAAATAACCAAGTCACCTTTCTATTCCCCAAATTTCAAGACAGTCCTGGCGATGAGACTGCTCTGGACGGGCCTCGGGTGCAAGGGTCTTGCGGCTCTTCTGCCCATCCTGCGGTATTTATGTGTCGATGAGAGCTTTACCCCCATGTTTGTTTGTGTTAGGTCAGTTCAGTTGGACAACTTCGGGAATCAGAGCCTCTTGTGAGCCCGCGCTAGTGAGAGGGAGTGTTGAAGGCCCCATTAAACAAGTCTACAGTACACATCTTGTCTTCAGCCTGTCTGCTGGCAAGACGATAAAAGCAAAATGCACATGTTTTTCTTACATGCTAAATTAGTTAATAAATCATTTGCATGAATGAGCTCTGGCTGCAGTGTCCAGACGTCTGTTAGAAAGAAGGCTTGCTTGCTTTCCGAGCTGGGGTAGCGGCCTCTCATCAGGGCTCGCCAGCGGTCTTGGCTCTGGAACAGACCTGAGCTGTTCAGGTGGGAGCTCTGGCAGCTGACAAACACCCTCCAGGGCAGGGGCTGCCGGGAGAGCAAGCGCCTGCCTCGCAGGGACAATTACAGCGAGGGCCAGAGGCCAGCTCTGCTTCCTGTTGGCTGACGAGTTCTGAGGAGTCTTTGAGGCTCAGAGCAGTGACATGTGTGCACGCATGCACGTGCACGCACATGTGTGTTTGTGTTAACCGGGCTCCCTGTGTGGAGACGGGGATTCTCATGAACATTTGAGAGGGATTGTGGAGAAGCCAGGAAGTGGCATTATAAAGGTCCTGCCTACAGCCCCAGCCTCTCTTTACTGTCTCGTCCCCTATAGCTTGAATTCCCAAAGCCAATAAATGCATGTCTCTTTCCTTGCCCAGGAGCCACCTGGGCCACCTTTGCATGACTATAGCAGTGACATAGGAGCTTCTTCATCCATGTCTTAGCAAACCTATCTTGAGAACCTACTCCGTGCCAGGCACAGTCTCTGGTCTCACAGACCTCGCCACCTTGTGGGGAAAGCACACAGGTAAAGAGGAAATGACCTTGGGATTTACTAAGTGCCAATGAAAGCATTTGTCTGGTTGCCATGGAAACTCATAGGTGTGGACTTGCCCCCACCTTGGGGGTACTGAAGGCACAGTAGTGAGAGTAACCTGAGGTGCTCAGTTCAGCTAGGACTGGAATGTGAAATGAGAGTGTGGGGCAGAGGGAGAGACACAGGGGCCCAAGACGAGCCCAAGGAGGCTAGAAGGCATTGTATCTGCTGCTCCTGAGTCTAAATACTCTGTGGAATGCAGAACAGTGACAGACGGAGAGGTTCTCAGGTGGCACAATGAGTGGAAAGTGGTGACTGCCAAGTTCCGGAGGAGAGGAAATGAGACCTAGGAAGCTGAAGGGGGAAGGCAGGAGGCAGCTTTGCTCTCACTCTCTGAGGTTGCTGACTCCCCAGTCTGAGGGCCTCTCTCTTCAAGTCAGGGCTCCTCCTGCACACTCCACCACTTACCTGGGGCTGTAGGCAAGACTTCCCCATCTTCCCACACTGCTCCTGGCATCCCATGGCGGGGGGAGGATGTGGTCATGTCCAAAGGCACCTAGGAATTAGAGTGGTTCAGAATTAGTCATAGCGTCCACCTTGCAGAATGAATCGGGAGCAAGATGGACTAAAACCACATGGGAAGCATCAGGTACAGGACCTGCAGGAATAGGCGGCCCATCACCTATAAGTGTAGGAGGTACATTACCTGCAGATGTACCTGCAGGAGTAGGCAGTACAGCACCCATAGGTGTAGGGGCACAGCACCCGCGGGTGTAGGGGTACAGCACCTGTGGGTGTAGAGGGTATAGTACTTATGAGTGTAGAAGGTATAGCACCTGTAGGTGTAGGCGGTGCAGCACCTGTAGGTGTAGGAGTACAGCAACTGTAGGTGTAGGGGTACAGCACCTATAGGTGTAGGGGTACAGTACCCGTGGGTGTAGGGGTACAGCACCTGTGGGTGTAGAGGGTATAGTACTTGTGAGTGTAGAACGTACAGCACCTGTAGGTGTACGGGTACAGCACCTGTGGGGTGTTGGTTGTACAGCACCTATTTGTGTAGGGGCTCAGCACCTGTTGGTGTAGGGGTACAGCACCTGAAGGTGTAGGGGTACCGCACCGGTAGGTGTAGGCGGTACAGCACCTGTAGGTAGTAGCTGGTGCAGCACCTGCAGTCTTGCAGGTAGGAGGCAGTACAGCACCCGCAGGTTGTAGGTGCTCAGTCAGCGGCAGCCCTCACTGTCCTCTGTTGACCTATCTGTGGCTCTATCCTGTTCCCACTGCAGCTCCCCAAGCCCGGCCTCATCATCTCCCTGGGCTGGAGGTTCAGCTCAGATCCTCCCTGGAGCCCACCCCCACCCTGCCTGCCTCTGCCTTCCCGCAGCCTTCCCAGTTGGTCTCATTTCTCATTTGCTGTTCTTCCTTACCTCCAGGGACATTCACAATCAGGGTCCCCAAACCACCTGATGGAAGCTTTATCTGTCCCTCTTCCTTTCTGCCCTGCAAAATCCTGCCCAACCTTACTAGCTCGTCTCAAGTCCAGCCTCTTCCTTCATCTCTTACCTGCGAGGCCCTTTCCTCTCCTTCCTGCACTGCATGACCTGGGCAGTGTGATGACTTTCAATTCACAGAGGAGCGCTTGCTCCTTAGGAATCACCGCTGATTCCTGCCCTCAGTGCTGCCA